TGTATCCCCAATTAAGGGTACCTATCACCTTACTTACAAAGTCCCAGGATCCTCCAAGTGGGCTATGGCCCGAAAGTACCTACAAAGGAACCCCTTTAAGGCCAAAGTTAAGTATGTACTTTGGCCCGAAAGTGCTACACATGAGCGCCTCCAATGCACATATAAGTATGTACTGTACGGGTACATGGACTCTTAGGGTAAGAAGCTTAAAGATTAAGCCCAAAATCCTAAACACAAGCCAGGTTTTCACAGCCTAAATATCGGACTTGTTAGCACAGCAGTGCGGTCTTTTACCCATCTGATCTGGGTACGTGTTCCTTTTGTGGTGTTGAAGGCTAGCTATATTGTTCTCCAGTTGGTGATGTTGCAGCTCGTTTGTTGTTGTGGTTTTATTGTTTAACTAGCTGCTTCGAGTGTTCAGAAGTTCCAGTCTGAGGTGTTTTCGTCTACATGTCTTGGACGATGCGGGGTATGCTGTGTTAGATATACAGCGCAAAGCTCTAAACCCTAAACCCTTACGTCTTACCTGCTAGACCCAATACATAAGATAGGCGCCTGAAGAAGCAGTGCTAGTGTTGATGAATGTAGACCCAGCATTGACTTAAGGACCCTAAACTATGGGGAATAAGGTATATTCCTTATTATGGGTAATGTAGGGTTTATAATGATTTGATTGTAGTATGGAGCCCTCCGGAACCCGAGTCCAGGCGATTGAAATGATCCCTGAAAACCCTGAGCCCTGAAACCCTAAACCCTAAACCCCTGAATGATTGTAGACCCAGCATTGCCTTAAGGACCCTAAACTATGGGGAATAAGGTATATTCCTTATTATGGGTAAGGTAGGGTTTATAATGATTTGATTGTAGTATGGAGCCCTCCGGAACCCGAGTCCAGGCGATTGAAATGATCCCTGAAAACCCTGAGCCCTGAAACCCTAAACCCTAAACCCCTGAATGATTCAAAAGAGTTGTGTAAACGGCAGCATCTTCGGACGCTCGTGTATTGAAGGTCTACCTAGACTTAGACCCTTGAATGTGGAACGTTTATTTGAACGACTTGCCTTATGGTTAGGATCCTATAATCAGGAACTCAGGTAACCCAATAAAGGTACTGCATTTAAGGGCCAAGCTCTAAACCCTAAACCCTAAACACTAAACCCTAAACCCTAAACCCTAAACCCTAAACCCTAAACCCTAAACCCTAAACCCTAAACCAAGCCCTAAACCCTAAGCCGATGGTTGTGATTCCACATGATGCAGCTTGACGTCCCGAGCCTCGGGCTTGGCAGTCTCAACCTAAAATTCAAAGCCCTAACCCTTACCCTAAGGGTCCATGTGCCCAAATAGATATACTTTGGCCTTAATTAAAGTAGTAAAGTAGTCCCTACAGAAGTACTTTGGGGCCAATGTATATACCATTTGGGTACATGGACCCTCAGGGTCATGCCTCCTAAATCCTAAACCCCTCGACCTGCTGCAGCATGAAGGTATGATCACTTTCAATGCCCTCATCCACGCGCAAAGCAGCCTCTGGGCTCTGATCTCTGTCTGTCCATGGGTTTAAGCTTAGGGTTTAGGGTTTAGGGTTTAGGGTTAGTTCCTTTTTGGGGTTCATATTTAGAATCCTATAAAGCAATCCCAGAAAGGAACTACTATGGGGCATATGGGTAGAGTGCTGCAGACAACGTGCGGCTCGTGTCACGTAATCTGGACTGAGCCATGCTTCGCACTCTCGCAAAACGGAGACGAGCCCAAACATAACATAGAGGTCCCACTTTCAAGCCCGGCACGTCCATTGTCATGTAGCTGGTTTTTGGGGTTTGTGCGTGTGCACGTGCTACAGTACCTGATACGTCCTGCGAAAAGACTGATGCAAAACTTTCCCTAAGGGTCCATGTACCCAAAAAGATAGACTTTAGCCTTAAAGTAGTCCCTATAGAAGTACTTTGGGGCCAATGTATATACTATGGGTTTCGGACTAAACCCTAAACCCTAAACCCGCAACCCTAAACCCTAAACCCTAAACCGGACCAGGATCTTCGAACCTCGATGTCGTCGACATTCTTCTCAACGACCTAGCCCAACGAAGTCTGCAAGCGGACGTCGTTACCCACAATGCCATTGGACTTGAACTTGGGGTGCCCAAAAGGGGTCCTAAGCAATACAGTACAAAGTGAGGTTTCTATAGTAGAAATTACCATTATGGTTTGGGTAGGTAACCTCATATAGGTATTTGGACCCTTAAACCCTGAACCCCATATAGGTACGTAGGAGCCTTTGGGCTGTTTCATCTTTTCAGGAGACTGCAAGCCTTCAACCCCAAAACACCCTAAACCCAAAGTTCTACGCCCTAAACCTTAAATTCTAAGCCCTAAACCAAAACCCCCAAAGCTGCGTCAAGCTTTGAACCTTGGGACTCGGATCCTTTGACATGGGATTTTGACAGGTGTGGCATGGTATAGTATAGTAAGTAGTAGTATAGTAAAGTATAGAAAAAATATAGTATAGTATCGTCTAGTAAAATATATTAAAGTATCGTATAGTAAAGTATAGTAAAGTGTAGTAAAGTATAGTAAAGTATATAGTAAGTAGTAAGGTATAGTACAGTAGTGGCTCGCCAGATGCGTGCGTACGTTCGACGGCTTGAGAATTGGGCAACTGTCGTCATGAGTCATGAGTGTGTGTTCGTCGTCGTACAGGTCGTCTTGAGCAGCAACCCAGCTGACAGCGGAGAGTTACAAGTTACAAGTGAAGATGTGGCTTTGTAGCCTGCTGTTGACACCACAATCCACCATGGTATGCACGACATTCAGGCAATCATGGCCGGATGTACCTCGCGACATCTCTGGGAGAAAGCTTTACGCTTCGGCGAGCGGGTTGTCGACAAGGATGTGCTGCGGCATGATCCGTTCGGGAATAGCTGGCAAAACTGTTCGGTCGTAGCCACTGCACAAGGGTAGATTTTGGATTCCAGGATACATGCTGGCTTTTGTATGAACGTCAAATTTGACGGAATGTGCTTTGATAGCTTGCCCCTTCCTTCTCCTTAGCCCTACGTCCTACCAATACTTGGGTTTCCGCAATGTAGTTGTGGTATAATATACCCCAAAACCGTATTCTAATTGTTGGAAGCTCCAAGC